TGTAAGGATTTTTGTTTTCTTTACGTTGAGGTGTAATCCATACTGAAGGCTGTGGTCTTTGATCTTCATCAGTAAGTACTTCAAGTCCTCTTCATTTTCAGCAAGCAATGTTGTGCCATCAGCATAACACAGGTTGTTAATGAGTCTTCCTCCAATCTTGATGCCCTGTTCTTCTTCATAGAGTCCAGCTTCTTGGATTATTTGCCCAGCATGTAGACTGAATACGTGTGAGGGTAGTATACAGTAAAACAAAACAAAACCTGTTGCCATCGAGTTGATTCCGACTCATAACGGTCCCATGTATATTAGAACAGAATTGTGCTCCATAGGGTTGTCTTGGCTGTAATCTTTTTTTTTTTTAATTAATTTTATTTATTTATTTTTGGTTGTTGAAAATATACACAGCAAAACATACACCAATTCAACAGTTTCCTCATGTACAATTCAGTAACATTGATTACATTCTTTGAGTTGTGCAAACATTCTTAATCTCCTTTTCTGAGTTGTTCCTCCCCATTAACATAAACTTCCTGCCCTCTAAGATTCGTATCTCATCTTTTGAGTTGCTGTTGTCAGTTTGATCCCATACAGATAGATCTTAAAAGAGCACTATGCTCAAGGCAGACTTTTTTTACTAGTTAAGCTAAACTATTGTTTGGTTTTAAGAAGACTCCAGGGGATATATTTTTAGTTTAAGGCTTAAAGATTATCTCAGGGCAATAATTTCGGGGCGTTCATCCAGCCTCCATGGCTCCAGAAAGTCTGGATTCCATGAGAATTTGAAATTCTCTTCTGCATTTCCCCTCTTTTGATCAAGATTCTTCTATAGAATCTTTGATCAGAATGTTTAGTAACGGTACTTGGCTGTAATCTTTATGGAAGCAGATTGCCAGACTTTTCTTCTGCAGCACTGCCGGGTGGGTTCAAACCACCAACTTTTAGGTTAGTAGTTGAGTACAAACCATTTGCACCACCCAGGGACCTTCAGATGCTTAATAAACACTTACCGAACGTATGTCTCTGAGTGAAGCCATCTTTGCTTCCATCACTCTTTGGTTTCACCTCACCATTAATAGTACCATCAGCTCACAGCTCAGGGCAGATTTACCAGGTACCAGGCCCTGCTCTAGGCACTTTACA